CCTATTGTACTGCCCCTTCCTGTGATGTGTGGTTACCTGTAATGATGCCCCCCTAAGGAGATATAACTCTTGGTTAGCAATAACGTAGGGGGAGGACCACCAAGTGGGGCTGAGGTGAGCATGCTACCATGAATTGTGTCTGATTCCATTATTCCAATCTCTCCTCTACCTTTCATGCTCTCTATGACTTTAGTATGATCTTTACTTATTATCACTGTACAATTGCACCTACTGGACATGTGATGATTTGTTAGGGACCCTCCTCTCCCCACAATAACCCTTCAGAAATAGTAATGGGGGGTGGACAGTAGGGGATAGGGAGGGATAAAAGGGAGCTGATATCAAGGAGTTCAAGACAAAAGAAAATGTTTTGAAACTGGTAGCAATTGTACAATACTGCTTGATGTAATTGAACTATGGAATGTTATGATATATGTAAGAGTTACCAATAAAATGGCAATAACTAAATAAATAAAACTTTAAAGATGTCTTTTACAACAGAATTGTCCAGTGCAATTTTGATTTCTTGGCCTTTGCTTCCACAACCTTTTCTCCATTTATCTTGATGTTATCTACTGGTCCGGTTGTAAGGATTTTTGTTTTGCTTTGTTTACTAAATTGCAATCCATACTGAATGCTGCGGTATTTCATTTTAATCAGCTAGTGCCTTGAGTCTTCTTAGCTTTCAGTACACAAAAATTTAAAAAAGGGGAAGGACAAGATAGATGCATCTTGAGGTGTGCTCCAACAGTTCCTAAACACCAGTCTGAAACCACGTGTCCAACTTAAAAAACCCTGGTCGATCACCTGATTGCCATTCAACAAACCTTTATTGAGCTCTTAATACATAATCCTGGGAGCAGTAACAGGTAAAACAAATCACATTTTCAAGACTATAGTATAACAAAGTGATGGATATTCATATATGCAGTTAATTTTAATGTATCAAGACAGTGAATTATCAAGGGAAAGCTCAGAACAGATTAAATTTAAAATGCCTAAGAATTCAAAGAAAAATTCCATGTCAATATCAGAACATTTCCTAGGGGAAGATAAAGATGGAGTTAAAACTTAAAGAAGTAAAAAAGGATAGGGCCTGGGAAATGAAAGCGAAGCAACACAACACACTGCCCGCACCTGGCCTGGGTCATAAGTGCAATACAAATCCAGACTAAAGTTTAGAAGGCCATGTACTGAGTAGGCAAGATGAATGCGTATTACCAGCTGTATGATATTGGGCAACTACTGGAGTTATGCTGTATTGTTTTGGTTAGCCTCTGGGTTCAGCCTTGATGGTAACCATTGCCTGGGCAACCAGTGTGAACGAGGGCATGCGACCTGGTTTTAAGCCTTTTGCATGCAGCCTCCAGGGTACTGGCTCTTGATCAAGAGAAGCAAAGATGAAAGGATGGCCAGAATTCATTAAGAATAGATGCTGTCCGCCAACACAGTGGCCAAATTGTGTAGCACCAGAGCCCATCGTATCCTGGCTGAGAGATTACTACTGAAAAAGATTTGTCATGTTTTCTCTCTCTTGGCGCTTAGAGAATACCTTGGTTCCTGCTCATATCCTAAGCAGTTCCTCCAGTCTCCTGAAGATTCTGTGAACCTCTTATACTCTTCCAATACAGTTAATTTTTGCTTATTGTAGCCAGGGTCCATTTTTGACACTCTTAATCAAAATAATAATAATGATAATTAAGTGATACAACACTTAATGTCCACATAAGCGCAATCAATTCTTCACCAAACATCTACTGAGGTATTTCTTTGTGTTTAGATTTCCCTTAAGATTGAAGATACAGAGTTGAAAGAGGCCTCATGGCAACTAGAGAATGAGCAAATTGGGTGCATAAGCAAATGTGGTGAAGAAAGCTGATGGTGCCTGGCTATCCAAAGATATAGTGTCTGGGGTCTTAAAGGCTTGAAGGTAAACAAGCAGCCATCTAGCTCAAAAGCAACAAAGCCCACATGGAAGAA